CAGTAATATGGTGTTGTCAATATGGTCATTAGACTGACCGTAGTATTTTTTGCGTTTTGTTTAAGTAAACCGTGTTTTACCCTATTTTATCAATATGACCACCAACGCACGAACGAATTACTCTATTTCTCTTTGTTGCTGTTGATATGGATAAAAGTGCTTAACACCATGGAATAATGTTTGCATTTGATAAAAGCAGGTAATAGTTGAAACTTTGATCCTGCGCCAGGAATTGTGATCAAAAAATTTTTATTATATATTTATTGTTTTTCGTTACATGTGTAAACCTATGCTCGAAACTAGGTTTTAAATATTTCGCAGTTCGTGGCTTAATTATTGGAGCGTAATGAACGTAATGCGCTAGGTCAGTAAGACTGTCTGTCAGCACGTCTGTTTATGCATCACATGCGATTATCACTATTGCTTGCAGTTGAAAAGTCACAACTTGTGTTAATGAAGAGCTACCTATCTATTGATAAATCTCTTGTCACGCTGAGACCACTGTGAATGATATACAGGTACTAAACTGGAGGCTATTGGCAGCGCCTATTTAAAAAAAATTATTTCTAAGTGATGCGAACAGCTATCAGTGTTAGCATGCACGTCGTTTTGCGAAGCTAATGTTTTGTTCTCGCTTAAAGTCACGTGCTTTGTCATGTGACAGTTCCTATTAATAACATGGTAGCTTGTTATAAGTACTTCGCTCTACTTTAGGAACTGGAGATTCTGTGTGGAGACGAACACATTTCGTTCACAACATCTAAAATCGGCTCTTTGAACGATGTCAATAAGAGCAAGTAGGCACTGTGCTGTTTTTTAGCTGCATTTATTCTAAATTAACGCGTTTAGTGACCCGGAAGGCCTAAAAACATTCTACTTCTTGGTTCAGGATCTGAAGTGCCTCGTCTTTTCGCTGATCGGGTTGCACTTCAAAATCAAGCCGATATAAGCTGTGATGCGTTACTGTGTACTTATGCAAGGATGTAAATTTGTTGTTTTAACTAATTAAGTAACAAATTAAAATAAAAACTCTCTTGTTGAATGTTGATTATTTTTTCCATACCTGATAATAAAGATGTCATTAATACGGTTTGAATACTTGCTTTCCTACTGCTGTTAAGTGCCACTTAAGATACATGATGATTTACTAACTACCTATTTGGGAGGACAGAATACTGTCATCTAATGACCGCATTGCGATTTCAGTACGCAACGAAATTGAAGTTTTTCGAACCATTTTTTGTTCTTTCACGGAGTAAAATAAGAAACACCTGAGTAATAATGACGGTTATATTTAGAATAGACAAGTCGAGAATTAGTTTTTGTTGTATATTTTCTGTCGTGACTCGTCACTGCATTAGATGTTAAACGCTTCGCCATTTCTTGTGTCGTTTAGTCGCTTTCAAGGTTATTTTTGAAACATGGTGATGATTAAATGACAAGACTTCACAGAGTCACTGTTCTCTTCCGGACCTCAGTAAATGTGGAGATTGAATAAAGGACATGACCCCTGTTTGAGAAATTGGTTGAGCATATATCATTTACTTTCATAGAATTGCATTGCCGGATGAAGTGAACGTTCTGGTATAAGGCAGTACGCAGCTTCGACAAATGCGTCGATCCTTGCGTTGTCGTGAAAAAAATGTCTCGCTACGTCTCCATTTATGTCGTATGCAATCGACTGTGCAGATGATAAGCTTTTAATTTAACTTTGAATCTGGAGTTGAGCAGTGTTCTGCGATGCGATTGAGCTTTATTTTCCCAAGCGGCACGCTCGCTTCTGGTCCATTCCAATTTAGCCATATTTACCTCTTCCATTAGCCTCTTTTGGCATAGTGCCATTACATATTTGAGGAAGGTGAAACTCGCTCTCCATTTATTTGACACCAGTTTTTGCGGTGGAATTTCGAAACTGAAACCTGTTAAACTTGCTTTTGACAATTCAAGGCTCGATGATTTTACTGAGACCAACCAGGTGGCAATTTGATCTGCGAAAAGTATGAAAATTTACTCCTTGCAGATGACCAAAAATAATCCTGATCTATTTTGGGCGTTAAATAACAGTTGGCCCTGTTGTATGGTAAGAATCTGGTTTATTATTTCTGTTTCTGTAGTCTTGTCCCATTTTGGCTTCAACTAGCGCAGATGGTGAATTTCATTTTTCAGATTTGAGCTTAGCGATGTCTGTGCTTTATTGCTGTTATTCATTGTTGTCTTCTATTGTGGTAAATAAATGAATTATTTCGCCTGTTTACGTCCATTTGAGTTGGTAAATGTGTTCAAAACTTTTCTCGCTTTTAATCTGGCACTCAATAAAGATGCGTTAATGGACAGTATATTATGCGGAAGCACCTCCTATTAGAACTTACCTTACGAAGAGGAATATGGCATTTGCCGCAGCAGTGAACGTTGCCTAATATCAATCCGACGTATGCTAACGATCGTACATAATGCATTTGTGTTAGTGGAGGCATTCGCAACACATTCAGAACCATCGCAGCTGTGATTTCTCAGTCTCAAGAAGCAGCGGCGCTACACCAACGATCTTGCGGATTTCTATATTCCGCACCATCTCGAGACGCCTAAGGCTAGCGAGTCATCTCAGAAAGTCCATTTCAGCCGCTTCTACTAGGGTTCGAAGTTTTTCGTGACTCATGACCGTAGGTAAGCACGCGGATGAAGATCGACTTGAACCCCGAGAGCTTAGTTTTTAGATTCAGCTCTGCTTTAGTCACAGTGGATCAGTCCAGTTCAAGCAGAACGCCACTCGCTACTCGAAATAGCCGGTCGATCTCTTCCTCCAATTTTCCATCACTAGTAAATACAATTCCGAGGTACTTGAACTTCTCCAC